ACATCACTGATGTAGATAACTCTATGGTTTATTATATCATGAACTCTCCAATAGTGTTGTGTCAAGGCCCAGTGGCTGACAACTGCAACCACACAACTCCAAGGGTTGATATCAATGGATATATAAGGATATATAAGAATCCAGTAGGATTTCTACTGGTTCATTTCTTTGTAAATATGAAATCAATTTGGGGTCTACATTTTCTGGGGATGGAAACATTCTCTGGTACAGATGCCAATTTGTAGCCATCTTGTAGAGATGTGCCATTGGCCTGTCCCCTAAAGCTGTAGAATAATAATTCTCGTACTTTAGAATCCATCAGAATTACCTTGAGGGCTTTTAGAAACAAAGATTGCTGGGTTCCGCTCCCAGAGTTTCTAATTCTGTAGGCATGGCAGGGGACCAGGAATATGCCTTTCTAACAGGCTTCCAAAAGGTAGTGATGCTACTGCTCCAGAGACCATACTCTGAGACCAATGATTCTTAACCTCTGGTTGCAGATTGGAATCACCTGGCTGGGAAGCATAAAAAAATATATACGGTGCTACCAGAGCATAAGTGGTCTAGGGTGTAGTCAGGTATGAGACTTAATGAATAGATACATCAAAGAAATCTGAGATTCAAAATATGCTACAGATTAAGTATCCCTATCTGAAAATCCAAAATCCAAAATGCTCCAAATCTGAAACTTTTTGAGGACCAATATGACACTCAAAGGAAATGCTTGTTGGAACATTCTGGATTTCAGATGTTCAGATTAGGGATGCTGAACTGGTTAAGTATGATGCAAATATTCCAAAATCTGAAAAAAATCTGAAATCTGGTGAAACACTTCTGGCCCCAAGCATTTCAGATAAGGGATATTCAACCTGTAGCTATTTATTTCATCTATCCTTGTTTTTATTTGCTAAAAACAGAGACCTAAGATAAGCCTTTCAAATTTAAAAAATAACTTAATTATTGGATATGATATGGAAAAACTCATGATGGAATAAGTGATAGGTCAATTTGGCACGAGAATGTTACCTACTCATTACATTACACAGGTGTTTAAAATAATGATGATTTTATCATTAAATATAACAGAACAGTTTTTCAAAGTAGTGAAAAGTATTACCTGATTGGTTTTAGCCTTCAGAGAAGCAAAGTAAAAGGTTGCTGATGGCTCACTAGAACTATTTGGTAGACTCAACTCAAATTTCTCTGTTACCTAAAGTAATGAGCTTATCAATGTAAAAATGCAAGCATAAATTTACACAAGGACAAATCACTTTTCCCTTTTTCAGTTTTTCTTTAAAATTAGAAGCACAAGATTCACTCAAAATAAGTTTTTATACATAGATGAGTTAACTCCATACTTATTTATTCCTTATTTCTCAA